TATGCCCTTCCAAACAGCACTGGATCCCTATGGAACCACAAATCCTAGATACCCCATTTGAATATCTCTCTTTTCCTACACAGTCTAATTTTTACCTGCTCACATATAATTACATTGTTTACTCACCATACAAAGGTTATACTGACTAGAGTTGCCAGAATTCTTAAATACTTTCCATTCCCTTCTCCCCTCTGTAATAATTGATCATTTCCCCTAGAAGATTATCCTACTCTCCATCCAAAAAAAAGACAGACATGGCCTTACTAGATGTACTCAATTTCTTTATATGACTGGTCAGATATATTCCTCTGATCAGTAAGCAACAGTGTAATTACACCTATATATCATTATTTCAATAATCCCATACTTGGACTTTTATAGGGCAATAGCACTTTGAATGCAAGAGGCTTACCAAGCTTGGAAAATATAACATTTTAGATAACCAGAATTTAAATGTATCTAAGAGACCAGGTTCTGCCCTCTTAAGTAGTATATAGGTAGAGTTGGATATTAGATTCCTGCAGACAGAGTGACTATATTTTGTGGAAGAGGCCAGATTCTTAATGTATCTCTTACGTTACCATTGCTGGGAGTAGAGTCTCCCAGCCTGGGTAGACAGACTTGCACGAGAGGGGCTCAAGCTAGTGTGCTAAAAATAGCAGTGTGGACATTCTGGCTCAGGCTGGAGCTTGGGCTTTGAAGCCCAGGAGATCAGGTGGGCTCGAGACCCTGAGCTAGAACGTCCACACTGCTACATTCAGTGCACTAGCTGAAGCCCTGATAGTGCAAATCTACCTGCCTATGCTGGGAGTCTTGCTTCCAGCTGCAGTGTAGACACCCTGTATGTACTAAACATGTGCATACACAGTAGCAGCCTACTTAGCCCCATACAGAGTGGCCTCAATTTATTTTGATAAAGGTCACTTCAATTCTGCGGTCGGCTCTTTCAAACATGTGTGATGGGATTACACATTAATCCCAATATTTTGTGAAATGGTCACAATGCAAGTTACTAGGAGATGAGAGAAAACCTGCTAGCAAAACTAGTTCCTCAGTTTCCTTTTGATAAAGGAGACTTTTGAATGCTGCCCAGTGAGGAAATCCTCATGTTCCTTCTATGAGCATCTGCTTCAGAAAAGCATGGGAGAATCCTTGCAATGAGGAAACTTGCTGTCCTAAAGAATTAATATCCATATTAGCTCATTGCCTGGGCACCTGGGAATATTTATACTGAGTCCACTATAATGTATCAAAACCAGGAACTTCAGTATTTGATACCTGTTAAGAACACATGGTGCTTTGCGACAGGTATTGCTTGTGTGAAAAGTTCTTACACACCACTATTTCAGTTTTTCCATTTACTTCTGTATGTATTTTAATATTGGTCTCTGCTTGTGACCTCCAAAAACTAAACCCATACATGAAAACAAAGGGTAGTAATGAATGGCAATATGCAAGATGGGTCCAGTGGGAATGTGCAGGGGTTGGCATTAGGAGTCAGTCTTATATAACTTCTTTATTAATGATCTAGACGAGGGAGTGAACAGCATGTTAATGAAATTCACAGATGGTACTAAATTGGGAGGAGCTGCAAATCCCACAAGGACAGAGAAATATAGAGGGCCCTGGAAAGATTAGAAACATGGGCAGGGAATAAGGAGAGATTCAGTTTAGGAAAAAATATAGCTAATATGTTAAGTGGAAAAATAATTTGAAACCAAAAATACTGAATGGAAGAGGGAAACCTGGGAAGCAGGAATGTCCAAAGGAGACTTCAGAGCGGTAGCGGACAGCCACTAGACAGATAGAGTTTGCAATGTGATGTGGAATCAAAACCAGGCCAACACTAGTTTGGAGAGAGATGTGCAGAAAGACTCGGGAAGATAGCTGTCCCTCACTATACAGCACTGGTGTAAACTCATTTGGTATATTCCAGTAGGCTCTTGATCCCCTGTTACTAGAAAGGCTGACAAATTGGAGGGAGTTCAGAGAAGAGCAACCAATTGATTAAGGGGTTGGAGAGATTGATTTATGAGGGATGATTTAAAAAAAGATATTATAGCTTGGATAAGCAATGATGAAAGGTTGGAGAGTTGAGGTTGGAGGGGAGAGGAGAACAGGTTAACAGTCTACCACTATTTAAAGGGTGTAAATCAAAGGCTGGTGAGAGAGAGAGAGAGAGAGAGAGATCATTCAGGCTGGTACAAAGGAGGGTAACTGGAAAGTTTAAAAAGGTGATATTGAGGTTAAATATCAAGGAGCACTTTCAAGCATTAGCATCATCTTCCCGATATGCGGGGAGGCTGACAACACAAAACAGCAGCCAGGGAAACACTAGAAAATATACAATAAGGAGCAATCCTGTACTGGCCGCTTGGAGACAGCTTGCTCTTTTCCTTCAGTATCTCTCAGAAGTCTCTTATGTGATTCTGTGATCTCTGTCCTGGCATGAGATGCTCATGTTCCCCACACAATAGTGCCATGAAAAGCTACTGTTTCCCATACCATCCCAGTTTCACTAACGATCACTTCCCCTGTGATACAGGTGCTGATGCTTATTACGCCCATCTATAGCTCCCACTTAGATGGGTCTAGCCCAGATCCAGTTGAGTAGGCAGATCACAACAATGACAAGTTGCGGCACAGAAGTTGCCAAACAGTTTCTCACTGGCTAGTGACAGAGTAAAATATAAATAGCAATTCAGTGAAAGAAAATTGTCAAGCGCTATTCAGCTACTAAATTAGACAGACAAAAACATTGGCTCACATCACCACAAAAGTGACCCAGATATTGACATTACACATGCAACCTTGACCTGCAGCACGTGAAGATATTGGTCAATCCCAGCCTGACATGATTTGTAAATGGTGTCTCTACATTTCAATAGTCTGGTTTTGTCCATGGCGAAGGTTCCTTCCCAGACAGACAAAGGGTAAAGGCCTATCTGTGGGAAATCAAAGAACAGACTTTCTAATCTAGCTCCAGATGATGAATGCAAGCAATGTTTACCTCCCCACAGGCCTTACACCCTGATTCACAGAGAGATGACATCCCAGAAAGCCAGAGGTATCTAACTGGCTCTCCATCTAATTCTTTCTTGATAGAAGCATCAAGACCTACCCATCACAGTGAAATCCCAACGTGGAATACAAGGAATAAGAGACCTTATTCTAGCCATTCCTATTTCAGGTAAGGAGCCAATTATTTATATCTCAGGCCTGCTGGAAATCAGTACTTAGGATACCAGTGGTGAGGTCACCAGGAGTCATGCCAGCACAATAGAAGGATTGGGACCTGGTTTTATCAACGTGGTATGTTTGATTAGCGTTTGGTGGGGGAAGATTTGTGTTGCAAAGAAAAAAATGAAGCTGTTTGGGTTTGGGAAACTCTCCATTCCTCCTTCTCCCCTGTCACTCCCCGCTCCGCCACCTCCCAGTATATACCTCAGTAATTTACAGCATCAGCACTATATCCTTAAGAGTTCTCTAAGGTTCTTGTGAGCCCATGGAACAGGCAGTCCACCAGTGCTGAAGAAATAGCTGGATAATGATGTGTTGGTCCCCTGGGTGCAGGGAAGAGGCACAGACTGAAAGAGCAGATCTGAGTAAGGGGGGCAATTGAAGGAATGAGTGGGGACAGTAAGAAAACGTGCAGTTTAGTGTGGCACAAAGTGGAACCCAGGCCAAGCCCTTCAGAGAAACCGAGCTACATCAGCTAGAGAAGCACCTACCACAGGTATGCAGGGGAATAAGGCCAAGTTTCAACCCTGCAAGCCCAGAAGCTTCACTCTGTATCAGCACACGCAGTGAAGCCAAAGGGCTCCATACTTTGCTGCTCTGTTCCTGCGCTTTGTGCAGGAACCAGGAGCAGGGGGCAGAGGTGGCTTTAAGCTACCTTTGTGATCCCCACATTCCCAGGCTGTCAGGGTCCTACACTGCCTCGGACAGTTGCAGCAGTCATAAGGATTCTCTAGCTTCTGTTTTGGCCTCAACGCCCCCTATGGGCCATCTGCCAGCCCAGAATAGCCAGAGAACAGCATTCTCCAACCATGCCCCCTCCCTCCCCACCCTGACATGCCCTACGCCAAAGGCTGTGCTAGGCATAGACACACACAGAGCTGTTCTGGCAGTGCAGTGCCATCCAGGGAATCCCCATCTAACAGGGATATAATGCCGGAGGGAAATACGAAGGCGGGGGTGCAATGGAAAATCAGCCCCAAAGGTTTTCCTGGGAAGCCACACGTCTCTGTTTTGAGAGTTCGACAGAGAACATAAAAGGCACGTGCCTTATTTAGAAACTCATCCATACCAGAGTTCATAATACCATCTTTTCCAGGGCTACACTAGGCAATCTGATGCACCCTCAGACAATGAGATCTAGCCCTCCTGTGGGCCTCCAGGAGAACAGAGACTGGCTGTTCCCCATGTCAATGCTTCAATTTGTAGTGGGTTGGGATCAGGGATTTCTCAGTTCAAGGACCTGGTCTCTATGGAGTTTCCTCTTTAACCACGTCCACACAGACCCTTGGGAGCTGCAAGGCATGGCTATCCAGGTCATTTTGACCATTTTGGACTCTTGCAGTACAGCAGCTCCTCATTTTGGGGTTATTTTTCTATTCTGCCTATTGTAAAATATATCCATTATCCTGGGCACCTTGTGGCAGGTGCTATGGAAGTTAATAGAACAAAAACACACACAAAACCAGTACAATACAGTATAGTACACACACACAAACACCAGCACACAATGCAACCACACCCACAAAACACTACACCCACAAAGACATACCACACACATACACCAAACAGATGTTTGCAAAGAAGCACAGAAAATATGACTGCCTAGAGGTTTTGGTTACAAGGGGTGGAGTTTTATTCAGTGTGATGTGACCATTTCTGTGCTGGAAGCTGCCGTGTCCTCTCCTTAGGGAGAGAGCAAACACTGCTTGGGAAGGGAGGGATGAGAGGGCTGCTCTAAGGGCCCAGAGAGGTATGATTACCTGTATCCTGTCTTCAGGCAGTTCCGTTTTCATGGCCAGCATCTCTCTGGCATAGACATCGGGATAGTGGGCCTCATTGAAGGCCTTTTCCAGCTCCTCCAGTTGGTAGGATGTGAAGATTGTCCTGAGGGGAGTAAAACTCATTGATCAGAATATAGAGAAAGCTGAACAGTCACAGAGACAGAGAAACAGGGAAAGGAAAATCTCAGAAACTGGATAACGTATGTAGATTGTGTTTTACTGTTTTTCTATGGACAGAAGGTCAAGCCCTTGGCTGAGAGAAAGCCCAGAAAGTGCCAGGACATGGTGTTCTTATACAGTCACAAGTCACCTTTCTTTTCAGCCACTTCCTCCTCTAGGCAGCCTCTCCTCCAGTTTCTCTCCCCCCACAGGATGACCATAATCTCTAGATTAGATCTCAGACATTATTTCCTTCCAAAAGACATTGAAGTGTCTCTTTTTCCCCTCAAAGAGGACCCCACTTCCTGATTTATGGGCACTATGGTCCCCTTTATGTTTGCCACACAGACACTCCAGAAGATTGCACTGAGGCACCCACAAGAAGTGACATTGTTCTCAGCATCTCACCTCTCCCAAGTCTCTCCCGGTTTACAAACAAACCATTCCCCCTCAGCAAGTCCCCAAAGTTTTGTCACAGCCCTCACTACTTTCACCAGCCAGTTCCTCACCCCATGCATGCAACCTCCAACCATGAACCCAGTGCCAATTCCCTTGCTCGACTTCTACACAGGAACCCAGAAAAAAAAAATCATCTCCCATTAGCGGATCCCTCCCTTCCTCTGATTTGCATTACCCCATTACCCATCGTTGGAAATCCTTCCTGACTGCCCTGAATGGTCAATTGTCCCATCTTGCATCCGTATGCCCAGTTCTCAGCTTGGGATGGGTGGATTAAAAAAATAGCAGCAGCTGGGAGCTGAGAAAGATGAAAGCACAACTCTAGGGGAATGCAAAGAGATTCTAGCAACGGGGAAGTAAGGTACCAAGCTTCACCTCCCTGGTATCAGAAATCCTCCCTGAACCTCAGGCTATCCAAACCCTTTGAAACTCCAATTTCTAAGCAGGGTCAGCCTACACAGCAGTCAGCATTCTAATGGGTGGGGTTTTTTTAACCTGACTTGCATTTCAAGTAAACAATCAAACCATAGGACCGGAGATACAGTGCCCGAAAGATTTTTTTTTTTTAAATCTTTCACTAAAATTAGAGAATTTCAAAAGATCCTTCCCAATAGCACAAACAGAAACACAGGCTCAAAATGACCTTTCAACGTTCGTAAACCTAAGGATTCCACCAGATCAACAACATTAACAACAAGAGGGGCTTGTGAATGCAGGGGACCCAGTCTGCAATCAGATCTTTATTTAAACTCACTCCTAAATCTGTTCTGTGTTCAGGAGGATTCTGCTCCTGCTCTTGTAGAATCATGGACACTAGGATGAAAAAAGACCTATTAGCTCATCCAGTTTCTCTCTTCCGGACCCAGTGCAGGATTATTTCTTATTGTACATTCTCTAGTTTTTAAATGCCTCACGTTTGGGGTGTCTACCATCATCAGGAGATGATGCCACAGACCAGTGCAGCTCACTGGCTGAATATATATCCTGAAATTCATCCTATATTTTCCCTTTTTAAAAATCTGATTAGTCCAAGCCCTTTTTACCACAATACATAATCCCTCCTCCAGTTGTCACTTAGCCCAGATACAGCAGACAGATTTGGCAGTTTTAAGCTTTTCTTATTTAAAAAAAAATTACTAAACATGAAAAGTTTGTTACTATGCAAAATTGAAAATTATAAACAAATCCAAATCCTGTTTCCAGTATCCTGATCCATCTCTAGTCCTGATCCAATTGTGATCCTTACTCCAGTCCTAATTGAGATCTCACCCATTCTTGAGCCCAATCTAGTTCACAAAGGAAATGAGTCCATATTTACTCTGGGGGTAACCATAGAATTGTTTGACTTGAAAGTATGTCACATAGGTCACTACTCAATCCCCCTGGATTGGGGTGGGACCTCTAGCAGGGAATCTAACCCATCCTGGGATATTTAGTCTCTTCCTGCACAGCATCCTTGCTAGGCTTTCACTAGGATATCTTTTAATCCACCCATCCTGAATTGTGGTAAGATTGATTTAATTATCCCTAAACCATCCCTGATAGATGGCCATCCCACCTCCTTTTGTCCTGACTATCGCTGGCCATGGCAATCCCAGAATCGAGCTAGGTACTTCTAGCCATCACTGTAGCGTCTAATGTTTATGTGGCTCAGTGATTTTTAGCTGCGTTTTACAGATGGGTAATAGAGGCACAGGGAGGCAAAATATCACAGTCTTATGGCAGAGCTGGGAAACGAAATCTCAAAGCTGTGACACAAGTGCCTTACCAAACAAGTCATCTTCCCTCATCTACCTTAGCAGCTTGTTCTACCTCTTGTTGAAGATCTTCAATACTTTATTAATAATGAATAAGTGATTGATAGAAACTATTTGCCTAATACATTATGCTAAAATTGCTCTACTGCATTGCAGAGTCCAGTTTTAATAACCCGACTACTCCCATTTCTAGTGGCCCTGGATAAATGGCTTGTCACTTTAGGAAATATTTTAAAACTATTGATGCCTCTGGGGCCCACACACCTAAAAATTGTAGGCATCTTTTGAGTTAAGTAGTAGCCTGGTTTCAAGGTTCCAAGATCCAGAGCCGTTGGGAATAAATCCCCCAGGGTAGCTTTTCAAAATAAACAAACAAGCTTTTTATTATGACGAAGTTACAATAAAACTTTAACATACTATATTGTAGATTACTTATTCAGGATCAGATTAATATTCAAAGAACCTGGCTAAAGATTCTGGCTTGCTGGCTGGGGAGCCCTCCTCCTCCTCCTAATCCACTAGCAAAGATGACCAAATTTCTTAATACTTATCCTCTCTTTTTGGCACTTCTCTTGTTTATGTACTTGGTGTGAAAGCTTTCCTATTAGGACAATCCATATTTTACTATATCATAATTGTATAGGTGGAAGGGTCACCTATTTTCAATAACGTGCAATACAAAGTCTCACTGCCAACAATAAAAAGAACAATTTGTGTTCTGTTTAAGATGCAGACCCTTCACTAGAGCATTAACTAAACAGGTCAGGGGATCTCTAGGAAGCCAGCATTTTATCATAAGATAAATCTCTTTATTAATTTCCTCCCAAACCATCTAATTCTTGGGCACAACCACCACATGTGAAAATATGTCCCCAGTTCCCTGCAACCCTTGCAACAGAGTGCCTCTCTAGTAGCAAATATATGATGGATCTTAACTGAAGTCAAATGCCATCTGTGGGTAATTTTCTTGCGATTCATAATCAAACCCCAAATCCTGCTTCCTTTGATTGGGGAGCAAAAAGCAGAACGTTCCCTTCAGATAGATTCCTCCCTCCTGTGCCCTTTGTCAGACCTGAGCCCCTGTTCCTATGCGCTGAATTAGCTCTTATGTGAAGGTGCGTGGACCTATACAGAGGAGGGGGAGGGAGAGGGGAGTGGAATAGAGGTGGAAGGTAGGGTTAGACCCAGTTTGAATCCTGGGCTGGCTACTAGGGATTGCCGATCTCATTAATTCATGTTTATTTATATTTTTAATCAAACCTCCTTTTATTTGAAACCCATCAATGGTACAGCAAATCCATGCAACCAAGCAGTCTACCGCCGTTACCCTCATCCTTCCTCCCTAGCCCCTTCAATCGCCTGTTACACCGAATTAGTGCATTTTGTCTCAAGGCAGGCCCCGGCGCAGCAGCTGGATCCAAATGGGCGCGAGGTTCTGCATGCCCAGACCCAACTGCACCACCGGGGCCCGAGGCTGGAAAATCTTTGGGGCAGGGGCTGCGCCATCCCGTGCCTCTGTGCAGTGCCCCCGCACGACAGGGCCTGGGGGATAGAAATAATAAATAAGGCTCCGAGAGGCCTAAAGGTACCAGCCAAGGTTGGGGCAGGTTCTGCTGTTGGGGGCGGGCGGGCAGGCGAGCCCACAAGGTGCGGGGGACTCCAGGGTACCCCTGCGGGGTCTCGCTCGATGGGGAGCTGAGCAGGCGGGGAGGGGGGCAGCGGGCTGCTCTCCTACCTGTGCCGTCTCTTCTTGCGTTTCTTGCTCTGGTTTAAGGAGGATTTGGACATTTTCCTGTCGCTGGAGGAAACATCCTCGGAGTCTGGGAAGAGAAACGCGGCACAGACTGAGGACGGGCTCGGGGACTCGCCTCTCCCAGCTCCGCAGAGGCCCCCAGCGCTGGCGCCCCCTCCCCGGGCCGGGCCGGAGGCTCCCTGCCCGGCGCGGGGTGCCAGGGGCTGGCACGGCCCTTGCTTTGCATCTCCCTGGGGTTTCGCTTTATTTTTCGTTGGTTCAGCGGGGATTTCGTTGCGATCCCGCCGCGGCAGCCCCCGGGTCGGCCGGACTCGGCAGAGCCCTCCTGGAGCCCCTGTCCCGGGGCGCGGCGGGGGAAGTCTCGGGGCTGGCCCCCTTTTGCTCCGAGGGGCCGGTTCTTTGCGCGCCTGTGCCCCGATTGCACCCAGTTTCGTTGGTTTTTAATTCCTGGCGGCATTTAAAACAAAACCCCCGAGAGGGCGGGAAATCCCCGCGCTGTGCCCGCTCCCCCAGGACCCCGCCGCAGGGGTAACTCGGGCTCCGGGGGATAATCCGCCCTGCTCACCCGGGAGGCGCCGGCCGATTTCCGGCGTGGCTCGGGGCGCATCCCGGAGCCGCCCGGCGGCTCCTTCCCTGTATTCGCCGCCCCGGGTGGTTGTTCGTTCCCCCGGGCCGGGGGTCGTTCCGGCAGCTCGGGATCTCCCTTCCCCGCCCAGGAGCCGCTGGTGCAGGGCGCCGGGACTCGCATTTCGATACAATCGGTTCTGCCATGGGGCGGGGACAGTCTCGGGCTCGCCCGAGGGGCGGCGGGATGGGATCGGCCCCCTCGGCCCGATGGGCATTTGCTATGCGGACCGGGCGTTACAGGCGGGCGGGCGGCGCTGTGCGGCCCCGCCGGGCAGGTGTGTGTGTGTGGGGGGGAATTATTATGATATTTACTAACTTTCCCCCGGGCAGCTGCGGGTGAAGCGCGCCCGGCCGGGGCCCGGGCTCCGGAGAAGGCGGCCGGGCGAATCCTGCCGTCTAGCAAACGGACGGCGAGGCACCCAATTCCCCGCAAACGAGTTAGAGGCTCCGGCGCCCCGGGGGTCCGCTCCCCTCCGGCTCCGGGAAGCCCCGGGGACGGCGCTCCCCATCCCCCGAGCCCCCGGCTGTGGCACCCGCCGGCCGGGGGTTTCCCATCGCGAACCCATCCTCCTGGCGCCCCAACGAATTTTCATAAAGCCCCCCAGGGGGCAGCCCGGGCTTCCCTGCCGCCCTGGCTCCAACTCCTCCGATGCGCGGGGAGAGAGGACCCGGCTATGCTGGGAGCCCCAGGGTGGCAGCCTAAGCCTACCTGAGCTGGCCGTCTGGCTGGTGTCCAGCTGTCCGGGGGCCCTGGCCAGGGGCTGCAGGTGGACGCTCTGGGGGTCGGACAGCACCTCCAGGAAGGTGGGCTGGGTGTAGAAGCTGGGGATGCTGCCTGCCCCCAGGAGCCCCATGCTCACGCCACCTACCCCGGCGGGGCTGAGCACTGAGCGGGCCGCCAGCAGGTGCCCGGCGGGCAGGGAGTCCAGGGCAGCCCGCGGGTGCGAGGGCGGCTCCTTGTTCAACCCCAGGATCTCCTGGATGCCGAAGCCGGTGCACCTGGGCGGGGTGGGCCCGGAGCTGGGCTTGGGCCCAGCGGCGGCCCCGGCCCCAGGCGCACTGGCCGCGCTGTCGGGTTTGGGTTTGCTGGGCAGGCTGTGGGCGAGCGCGTCCCCCGCTTTGCCCGTCATGCTGCGGCCGGCCGGTCCCTAGTGCCTGCTCCCGGGAATGCTCGGGAGCCCCCGGCTCAGGCCCCTTTTATCCGCCCAGCCTGGAGCCCAAGTGGGGTCAGAGCCGAGCAGCCAATCACAGGGGCCAGCCGCGATTAGGAATTCCAAAAAGCCGGCAGGCTCCAGCACAGGCAGCGGAGGGGCCAGGGGGAGGCGGCCTGGGACACGAGGTCCGGGGGGAGCCCGGGAGATGGGGGAACCCTGTGGAGGCAGCAAGGACCTGGGGGCCGCCTGGGACGGAGGGACCCTGGCAGGGCAGAGCGGGGAGATCGGGGCAGTGTCTGGGGGGAGCCCGGAGAGGGGCCCTGCCGATCAGCTGGGCCAGGTGTTATTACTGATGACAGCGCGGGTGCCAAGCGACCCCAGCCAGCTGCTGGCCCCCAGAACGTGGGGTCTGAACGGGGACTAGGTCTGACAGGTGGGTGCAGAAGGCAACAGCAGGAGGGGGAAGGAAAGGCAAGGCCAGGGCCAGCATGCTGCGGGCATTTGCCAAGTGCAGGCTTCGGAGCTGGTGTTTTAAATAAGCGAAGGGAAAGCCCCCCAGCCACTGCTAGCGCCTTTGTTGGGGGGTGGGGGAACGATCAGAGGGCAGAAGCGGACCGAGGAGCAATGTGGGGGCAGCCCCTCGCACAACCCCCGGGGAGGGGGCATTGCTGAGCCCACAGTGAAGTTGTGCTGTGGGGAGGCTGCCAGGCTAGAAGGTGGGCGGAGGGGAGAGAAGGGTTGTTGTGGTGGGTTGGGAGTGCTTTAAGAAGGCATCAGAGTGAGCGGAAGTTGAAATGCCTGAGCACATCTCTCTGAGCCTGCCAAGGCCCAAGCAGGAGGGTTGTGTGTGTCACACCCCCAAGGGGAGAGACACACAAAGTGGTAGTGATGGGGGAAGCTGAAGAGGCTGCGGGATTCCTCCCAGCATAATTAGCCTTCTTAGTTGCATGATTATTTCTGAGGTAAATAGTTTAAACAAGAGTGAGGTGCTATCCAACTTGTATGGAACAGAGGTAAGGTAGGGACTGAAATGAGTTAGGTCAAGGGACACACGGTACAGCTGAGAGCACAGGAGATACAGACTACTCATTGCTCAGATAGCACCTCCCCACCCAGACCCAAAGAGGCGGGTAAGAAGTGCAGACAGAGGATGACCCACCCAACTTCTAAGCCTGGGGCTCCACAGGGACAGAGCCTGGGCAGCAGGCAAAGCACCTCCTTGGTGCTTGGGCTTCAATTTCAGAAAAGATGGCTTAATTCTCAAGCCTACACTTCATCCCATGCCTTTTAGGTATAACCTGTTTGTCATCCTGACGATCCCCTCCTTCTTGAAGTTTGTGCCCATCAAATATTATTATGACCCCTCAAGTGTCAACAGTTGCAGTAGCACCTATAGGATATGGGGTGTTTTCCAGCCACAATAGAAAACTGCCTTGGCAGTTATTGGGTGGAATGGCTCAGAGGTGAAACTTGGTACCCTGTTCTGCTTCCCCTCCCACAGGAATCCTTCCAAGGGGACTTGATGGGATTCCAATTACACTGAACTAGAAGGGACAGGGTGGAGTAGCCTGCTAGGTTCCTTTGTACTCTCTTCCACACAGATTATGGGTCACAGTACAAATGTTTTAGTGAGTCCCAGTCAGCACACAGGCCATTCTGCTTTGCAATACAACATTCTAGAGAACAGAAGGAAGACACATTTCAAGATAAAATTTGATCACACCTGATTTTGAGTTAATTGCATCCCAGCTTGAAGGTGTAAGAAAACAAAACTATCCAGTACTTTTACTAAAGAGGAACAGCACTTGAGAGATGGGGAGAAGTGAAGGTAGTTTTGTGGGAAGCAGAAAGGAAGTCCAAACATCTCCAAGAGGGAACTGTATTTGAAGATTGGGACATGAAGAGAATTGGGCACCTTACTGTCCACCTCTTTTACATGGCCCCAGTGGCATGAGATGGTAAAAACAGCAAATGGAGACAGAGTAAGAGCCAGCCAAAGGCATGGCGAGGAATGTGGCCAACACTGGCTATTCCAAGCCAGCAGAGCAGCCTATAGCTTGTTTAATACTGGCCTAAATTAAGGCAGCCCCTGGGGCTGCTCTTACTTGGGCCAGCCAGGGTGCCAGAATTCAGTAGACAGAGGTAGCTTAAAGCCATCTTTACACACACCCCCCAGAGGCACCACTCAATCTGGCCTTAAAGTTTGAAATTGCTATGACTTAAGAGCAGCAGGATTCCTTGTGCAGTGGGGAGCAACTGTTTCCATCCTTGAGGCAAAGGCTAGTCTATTTTGTTATACTTAGACAAGAAAAGTGAGGTCAATTGCCTGCCAGCAATAGCTCTTTATAATGCTTTCCCTCCTTCCCCTCAGAATGCCCCCTAGTGCTCAAAGTTCCATTACACTTCAGTGTTTAGGGCTAAGTCCTGCTGGACCAGCTATCAATGTACTGATGGGGAGAAGGGAGAATGGGAGACTACAGAAAGCCCCTGTCCCTACCCAACACTCCCACGGAGAAGGCAGTTATAATGTGACAGCCTGAGCTCTCAGGGTCAGCTCCTGAGGGCTTCCAAGTGGCACACTTCTGTTCCCCAGTCTTGGAGTCGGCTTGGTCCTTGGTATATCTTGGCTCCCCTCCCTGGTGGAGCTCTGAGGCAGAACCTTAATGTTACACCAGCAGTCAGTCACCTAGGGATCAGTCTGCTGGCTAAGAATCACCAGAGAGTACAACACTCTGGCCACACCACCTTGCCGTGTAGAGGGACCAGGAGCAGACAGCATAGAGCTGCAGAGTCCTCTACACCAAGGGAACTCCCAGCAAGGCAGCTAATTGGTTGTAAAAAGCCAGGCCTCAGAGTGCACAGGGTGATGGGGTTTTCTGGCATTACCAGCAGGCCTTAGTGCCCTGAAGTGAATGTGTGTGGCCATGCCCAGTCCTTCCCCTCACTCCCCCCACCCTGCTTCACAAGAGCGCTGAGAGGATCATGTGCTACACCTGTTGTAGCTATGTAGTAACTGCTGGTAGAGAGTATGTGCCTCTTTCCCCCTGAGGCATTATCCTTTCTCCTCACCTACACAGGCTCAACACTACTACGTGGGCAGTGTCCCTTCTCTTCCTACCCTCAGTAGAGCCCAGCTTTTCGTTAAATATCTCTGAGGTCTCAGATATTTACTCCAAGGTTTTGCTACAGGATCACTCTTTTCTTCCTGAAGAGTAGTACCACATTTGCCCATCTCCCTTAGCTCCTCCTGCCATTCTTCATCTTATTAGTCACATCATTTGAGAATAGGAAAATGGCTATCAACTTTGGGCTGAAATGGGAAGAATAGCTTCTCTTGCACATGGAGGAATTCCAATTACTAGGCTTTAGAGTGGTCCTCAATGGAGGAACATCTTCAGTGATTGCATTCCATTTATAGGATACCTCCCCTCCTGCCCGCCTCCCCCAAGCACAAAGACTTCTGTATGTTTAAGAAAATAGAACTGAATGCAATTTCTCAACAAGCAAGAGCCCATTTAAGCCAAAAGTTAGGGGGCTCCCTCCACAACCCAGACACAAGATCAGAAGATTACAATATGCCTCATCCCTCCCCACAAACACATGAGATAGAACAAATAGAGGCGCTAAATCTTCCTGTGTCTCACCCAAGAGGCCACATCTCTACCCTGGCATATATCCAGGGGACAACAGTCCAGAGTCATGGGCCCCAAGGGGTGTTCTACTCTGCCTTCTTGGGATTATGCCATAGGATTGCCAGCAGCTTCAACCCCAAACATCTGAACTAAGATAGGATATAAATCAACTCAACAGCCATTCAGCTAGACTAGTCCTATGTCATTCAAAGATTTATATTTTAACAGGCCTTGAAGCACCTCTAAAGTCTGTGCTCAAGAGTGTCTTCAACTGTTTCCTGCACTGGCTGCAACCTACTGAGGCCCATCAGAGAAAGTCACTAGAAGATGCACATTTAAGCAACTCAGCCACAACCTTCCCCAACACAGGTTAGTTAGATCCAGAGTGTCAACCGCTGGTGTCTTAGCAGAGGTCAAGCCTTTGGCATGCTTCTGCTGGGCTCATGCTCTCCTCCAAAAAAGGAGGCACTGACCATAGACAAATCCCATGAAAATGGAGTGGGATCTAAGCACCCTTAGGAACCTGTTCTGGGGGAGAAACTCACCCTTAGCTAAGGTGCATTTGAAACCATACTCCTAACATAAGAGATGCTGGTGCAGGTGGAGAACTTTGCACCTTCCTGAGTCAGCAGGTATAGCTGTACCCTAGGAGAGGACAAGGGGCATTTGCACCTTTAACCTTCCTTAAGGGTTCTACCAAGGGAGAATAGCTTCTATCTGCAGGAGGAGAATCTAGAGAAACCCTGCAGGCAATGGCTGTTAAGCAGTGCTGCCCAGATTCAGTGTGTTCAGATGTCTTTCTGTGACCCCTCAAGGCAACATTGCCAAGGTTTGGGGCATGCAATCTTCAGTCCCCCTTCCGGAACAACCCACAGCTGACTGTAATGCAACTAATTTCTCAGTGAAGATGGAAGTTGTTCACATCATTTAAACACTGAGCCTTCAGGGAAGAGAGTGTCCAAGTCTAGTTTATTAATAGCAATTTAGCCTTGGGCCAACGTGTAAAAAAAACAAAGTATTTCTACACAATTTAAAACTAAATCCAAAATTATAAAATGTTAGATTATAAATACAAATTAAAGAGACATCCACCATTATCCATATGTGATCCCAGTGCCACTTGCCTTTTCCTTATTTTAGGAGCTGACTGTGCCAACAGGGTAACCGCTCAGCTTACAGATCCATTGTCAGTAGGTCCTAACAAATATGCTATTTTCTGAAAGGTTGTAGAAAGAGGCATGCAGGACAAAGAGATGGAAAACCATTTTGACCTCAATACAAATTAAAATGTAATAATGGGGTAGGAGAACCATTGCATGTGCACCAGACTTCACCACTCTGAAC